GAAATCTCAAAAAGTACTTTAAACTGTATAAATTCAATTGAATTCGATCGGCCAATCACGTGAAAGTCCTCCTATGAAATTATATTGTGTTAATTAATTGGTAATATAATTGTAAAATATAAGACGTCGAGATTCTAAAAATAAATCAAATGAGAAAATATAAATATTAGCTACAGTGAATAGCAAATAAAATATATCACATGCTTCCGCCTCGATTCCTGCGGCGTAAAATAATTTCATAGTTTGAATTCAAAGTAAAATTATCAATGGAGTTTGGTTTCATAAAAAACAAGTTTCTCTGTGTCATATTCTTATCCATGCCTCATCCGCCTCAAATCCAGCTATTTCTTTAAGAAGCAATAAGATTTTGTTTCGATATTGCGCTAAACACCAATAAATTTTGGTCAATTTTATATCAAATATGAACTAATCCGTCCATTTTTATTTTAGAAATGTAAAAAATTATTCAGATTTATTTTTAATTTTTTACTATTCAATCACCATGGCGCAGCTGATTGCAAGATCAATATTTTGCGATTAATTATGGGGCAATCAATCAAAGCAATGATAACATCTGCGCAATATTGTTACAAAAATGTGATTACTTTTATATACATTAAATCACGCACTATAGAATTACCTTTTTTATTAATTGAGCATGATATCATCAAATTTATTCTGTACGCGACAAGTAATAGTTTTCAAAAGGTATATCGCAATGAAACCTTCAAAAATCTATTTAAACCACAATCAACTAACCTATTAATCATCAATACAACCAAAATCTTCTGAAACTATAAACGGAATGGTGTTAATAAATTATAACAACGTAAGTACTTTACATATAAAGATCTTATGGACTTCACTTACGTAGATTATTTGCACAATCAAGATTGGTAGGCTCAGGGAGATTTTCATAACATAAGTATCTGCTAGTATATACAGATTGTGGATGTGTCTGTCTATCGATGGGCTTCTCTTCACTTAATTTGATACTCTTAAATCTTTCATCAATTTCTTTGATTTGAGATCGTAATTCACTATCTTGATCGTAATAGGGATTAACTACAGTTAGGTACATTTCTTCAGCACTTGGTCTATTCTTTGGATTGGCATCCATACATTTTAAAATAAAATCACCAAGGATTTTGGGCATATTTTCAGAGATTTTTGGTCTAGTTCCATTACATATCTCGATAGCTAAAGTAAAATCATGAGGTCTATCATCATAAGGAATTTCTTCGGAAAATAGTTCGTTAGCCACTATTCCAAAGGAATAAATATCTGCTGCTTTGGTATATGGTCGACCTAATAAAACTTCTGGAGCAATATAGGGTAATACTCCAAACACACCACCTTCCTTTTCTAGTTGTTCTTTGTTCTTATTTGCCGGTTGACACATTCCCAAATCACCAATATAAGCACCGATATCAAATAATATATTACCCGGATGAAAATCTTTATGAACCCTTTCAGCATCATGAATATTCCTAAGACCTGTCGCGATTTGCGCTAAAACATATGATTTATCGTTACAGATTTTAATATTCTTATTTTTCTTAGATTTCAACATATAATCACGCATATTTCCCTTCTTATAATATTCAATAACAATCATAAAATTATTGCTAACTGGATCTCGTGTTACTCCCAAACACCTAACAATACTATCATAATAAATCTGATTATGTGGTTCCATCTAAATATACATATAAATATTGAGAGTTTATTCAAACAAAAAAAAAATAAAAATAAAAATTACAAATTAAAAAAAAAATGAAAAGAAACAAAAGATGATTGAATTTACCTCTCGTAAAAAATCCATACTAATATTAGAAGATTCATCTAAACATTTTAAGGCAACCTTTACATTTGGTCGTCTTTTAAACCTCCGTTCTAATATTTCATAAGAGTAAATTACACCATCAATCCAATCAGCGGAATAAATCGTTCCGAAACCTCCTCTAGTTATATAGGTAACATTTTTGAAATTTTCAAAAGGTATCCACTCAAGATATTTTGTACAATGTACTGCATTAATTTGCGCATCTTGTATAAACTTGTCAACAGATTGATTTCCGCTCGTCCAATTTTGAAAATTTTCTTTGAAAATTTTGCCACAACATGATTGACACCAATAGTGACCGGTGTTAGGTTCATTGCATACCACACATGATCCATAAACCTTTATTCTTTTTTCAATTTCTTCCATATATATGATTTTCTCATCATAAGTTAAGTATTTACCGTTATATGAAGTAATGGCGTGACACTTTAAAATAAATATAATTGTTTATTATAAATTTTTTTTTTATTTTATACCATATTTAATATAGTATATTAGCACTAGATAGGTATTATAGCATTATAAAGCATTGTAAATTTCTTACCACATAAACTACGTCCTCATTGTATTCGAAGCGTTCCATTTTTTACGTAACTAGGAGTAAAATTCTAGTTCTTTTATTGCCGTGATTGACCGTATGAACCTTGTGTACAACCTGATTTAATTAGGTGTAACCTGTCACAGATTTCTCGAACTATTATTTTCTTTCGTCGTAAAAATAATACAAGAATTATTAAATTATTAAAGCAAAATAAATATTTGCATTGAAGACATTTACGGACATCACGTGATGGGAACGAAACAACTATATATATGAGTTTTATATTTTTACGTTCTTTCATTAGGGATTAACTTTCTCTTTTCAATATTACGTAATCAAATACTGCGGGTCAACTAATAATATTAGATTTAAAAAATGTCTAAACTTGGTAAAGATATTCTTTACTTGATATTTGAAGAATTACAAGGCGATACGAAATCCCTCTTTTCATGTCTATTAGCCAATAGACTTTGGTGTGAGGTGGTGGTTCCGATCTTATGGAAGGATCCTTGGTGCACTACAATTGAAGATTACAATAATGATCAAATTAAAAGTTCGTTGTACTACATTTTTACCTTGTTCTTATCCGACGATAGTAAAGAATTTCGAACCAATAATATCCAAATACCCCAATTCCCCCACCGGCCACTTTTATTTGATTATCTGTCATTTTGCAAATGTATCAATGCAAGTGTTATAAACAAGATGTCTACTATCTACTCTCCTTCAGCCAGTGATCAATTTCATTTTCAACAAGAAATTTACGGTCTACTTATGAGGAAATGTTCAATTTTAAAATATTTGAATATGAGATCACTTCAACATCAGATATTTTTAATCCCAGAAGCAACCAATCGTCTCGAATCGTTGTGTGAATTAAAATGCGACACGTCCATGGAATCCGTATACTTTTATGGGATAGCAAATATTTGTCAACATATACAAAAGTTGATCATCGTTAATAAAAGCACAAAAGGCAATGATGGACTTGTGAGGTTAATTGAAGTTCAGAGAAATTTAAAATATTTTGAGTGGGATGATAATTTAGACGAGGGTGAATACTATCTAAATGATTATTATATGGATATTTTTTCGGCCTTAAAGAGAAAGGCGAATACTCTTAATTATTTTATAAACAGCTTTAATGGCATTGAATATTTTGCTAATATTTTATCAAAAGTACTTCCGGATTTTCATAATTTAAAGGTATTAAAATTAAATATCATTACGGATGACCTTGAATATCATTTGAAAACTTCAAGATTTCAACATCTTGAAATCCTTCAAATTGACTATATTAGAGTTAACGCGATTAATTGTATGATTCGAAACAGCGGAGGACGGCTCAAAAAAATTCTAATCGCGGAATTTGAAATCTATGACTGTGACTTTTATGATGAATCCCTTTTACTTATACGTACCGTACGTGAAAATTGTCCTTTGATTGGATATCTATCACTCGTGTTTCTAACATCAGACGAGCATTTTCTTGAACTTGATCATTTGCTGAGAACTTGTCAATATTTGAAGGTATTAATATTAGAGACGTTTGACAATTTTGATGATAAGGATGAAGGCATTTACGAAGGAATGAAGTTGGCGTCGGGTGAAAAAATATTAAACGTATTAATTAGATCCGCACCAATCAACCTAAATGTAATTGGAATATTTTATGATTTTAATTTTCCAATTAATATCCTAAGAGAATTTTTAGAGAATTGGAAAGGTCGATCGGCTCTTTCTTTTCTTATTTCAAACGATGAATACGAAAATGAAGAATTTAAAGCATTAATTGATCAATACAAGGATAATGGTGTGATTAAAGAATTTGGTCGTTGTTATGCGGAAAATATTATTGACAATTTTGGAATATAAATTTTTATCATATTTGTTAGAAAGAATGTTTGTTATTCATTTTTGATTTTGTAATTTTTGTACAATAGTCTAACGGTTAATAAAATATTCAATATCACGTGATTAATTATATTGCCTCCCGTTGTACTTGATATATTACACAATTACACAAATACTTTCTTTGTCTGTTGAGATTAAAAATATCTCATCAACCAAGGGGTATAATCCGATTTTACCTAAGACTCAACCGCGTGAAATTGTTTTGTTTAAAGCTAACTGGTTAAAGAAATTTTAAATTATTGAATGGAAAAAATTTGTCATTACGAAAAATAATGTACTAATTCATTTATAATAATTATGGTCATATAAGTCCTTTTAAAAATTATACGCCAGTCAGTTAAGTTATAGAAATCCAAATTTGAATAAGTTTAAGTGTGAAACCTCTGGGTGTCGTTAATCAAGAAGCAATTTTACTAGAAAATTGATATTCATTTTTTCTTTGTAAAAAAAAAAAAAAAATCTGAGATTAATATTGCACTTTAATATGATTAAGATTTCATAAATCATCATTAGATTAAGCACAATTTTTTACATAACTATTTATATTACTATTGAGAAATGCCAGCAATGAGCAATATGTTTTTTGTTGCATATGCCTTAATAATTATCATCCTATGGAAAATAAATGTCCAGAAAATGTTCTAATGAGCCTAAGTTCCCTTTTTTATTTTAAGATATTTAATTTCAGATAAAATTGTCTTTGTAAATAAAAACCAAAACGCGACGTTGAATTGATCGCCTTACTTAAATAACGTGAAGCTGTATTTTAAATTTAGGTCGATAATAATAGAGTATATGGAAAACCGGTACGGTACGATTCGCCGGGTCAGTGCGGTACGATGTAAAATTACTGATCTGCATAATCGTACCGTACTGGTCTGGCGAATCGTACTGTACCGGTTTTCTATCTACCCGGGCATATGGCATTGCAGACTTTCATTGTGATTGGCCAATTTTTGCAGATCATTTTATTATTGCTGAAATTCTATTGGCTGATAAATCACATGATTTCACATGATTCAAAACGAAAATAATTAATCAAAAGAAAAAAATAAGTAATCAAAAAGATATTTAGTTAATCAAAAACATTTAGTGATAATATTTAGCCTAAATAAAAAATAGATTTAATAAAGAGAATTTTATAAAATCAAATTTTTTTATTTCTCATTTATAAAGTATATTCAACTATTATTATTTATATCTTTTTTATTTACATTTCATATATAATATTTTGTCTAAATTATATATTCATTAAAGCATTCATAATCCTTTCAAAATTAGATTTATATTATTATCTAAAGAATAATCTTTATTACTAATATTAGTATTATCAAAGGATTAAATAATATCTACTTTTATCTATAATCATCTTATTAAATAAAGTTAGAATCTTTTGATAACTCTAATAATTTTTCAATTTCACAATCAGTGCAAGATTAGTATTAATTTTTTAATTTAAATAAATAATACTCAAATGATAGTATATTTACAAATTAAATATAATTTATATCATATGAATCTATACAAATCTTTAAATTATAAATAATATTTATTTTCTTAAAAAAAAATATGTTATATTTTAAACTATTACCAATATTTTAACATTATCTTAAATTATAAATGTTAAAAATTCATATATTTTAAATTACTAAATATCTAATATTATGATTTTCAGAAAATATGTTTATAAAAGTCATTATTGCATATTGATCAATTATTCATATCTGTCAAATAATTTATTCTATTATATTTAATTTCTATATTTATTATTAAAGTATAC